ACTCCGCCGCTGGGCAGCCGCAGGTCGTCAGAGACGTCGTCGTTGAAGTTCCCGCAGGATGCGCACAGCTTGTTAGCCAGGCTCTCGCCGACCCGCACTGTCACCTGCCCGCCGGGGCTGAACAGAACCTGCACCCCCGAGGCCTGGACCACGGCCACACCGCCCTGAGACTCGCTCACAGACACCACGTCGGAGACCTTTGCTGGGAGCTGCACCGAGCGCCCGTTCACCTGCAACGCACGGAGGGGGAGGGGGTGAGCTGATGTGACAAGGGCTGAGCTAGATCCCCGGGGACAGGCCACAGCACAACGGGCCAGGAGTCCAAGGGCCACATCCTAGTAGTGGGACTAATTAGGTTGACTTATTCCTGATTCCTCCCCCTGGCATGTTGGGCAGCTGTGGCCCAGTCTCAGGCCCTCTCTCTGCCTCAGTTTCCCCACCAGTGTAATCAGCCTGACCACTTTGTAACACGGGTTGCACTCTGCTGGTGAAAGTAAAACAGCCGTGCACGTGCAACACTGGTGCTGGTGCCCATTGCTGGGAGGGTGCAGGGAACCCCTCTGTCTAGCAACGCGACTCTTCTTTGTTCTGTAGCTGTCCCTTGGCTCGCACAGGTCAATGTGCTCGTTTAACGGCTCGGGGGCAAGTGGGGAAGCATTAAAGCAAAACAACTGACAGCCTCTGCTCTTGCAAGTGAGCAGCAATGGCTGCTGCTGTGGAGCGGGCTCTCGCCCCAGCCCCACCCTTGCTGTGGAAAGGCCAGCGCCTCGTGCCCAGCTGAGCCCTGAGAGAAGAGGGTCAGTTCCCTGCCCTGCAGCACAGACTCCCCATAGGGTCTGGGGCGTGTCATTTAGTCCTCCCGTGCATCAGTTTCCCCACTCTGTAACGTGTGCCGGACCTCGCCAGCGGGTGAGCGGCTCTGAAGCGTTGGGGATGGGAGCTGGCTCAGGCTCTGCGGGCTCGTCCGCATCAGGAATTCAGTCCGGAGAAGGATGGGTGTGAACTGGCAGCACGCGAACTAGCCCCGAACGAGGGAGACGTTTCGCACTGTGGCCGACGCTAACTCTGAGCAGGCCCAGGGTGTCTACCAGGGAGCGCTGTGGGCGAGCTGGCCCGGCCATTCCCGCAGGCCAGCCCAAAGGGTGCATGGGGGTGACAGCCGCACGGCCTGGCAGACCAGCTTTCATCGAGCTAGCGCAGGTGGGGACAGCAGCAGGTGTGCAATGGCACGAGCTGCCCAAGTCCCAGGGATCCCAGCTCTAACTCTGAGCAGGCCCAGGGTGTCTACCAGGGAGCGCTGTGGGCGAGCTGGCCCGGCCATTCCCGCAGGCCAGCCCAAAGGGTGCATGGGGGTGACAGCCGCACGGCCTGGCAGACCAGCTTTCATCGAGCTAGCGCAGGTGGGGACAGCAGCAGGTGTGCAATGGCACGAGCTGCCCAAGTCCCAGGGATCCCAGCTAGGAAGTCAAGTCGCCAGCTGACGCTGGGGCGGCGACCCTGCCAGGTTTAGATCCAAACTAGCAGAGACAGGTCTGTGCCCTGCTACAGTCACACGGTTTCTGTCTGACACAGGCTGCGTCCTCTGGCCAGCCAGGCTGAGCGGTGCTGTCAGACATGCCACTCTGCGTCCGGCTGCCAGGTCTGCACTTGGGGTGGAAGCTCCTTGGAGCAGGAGCCAGGGGTTTGTTTGTACAGCGCCTGGCACAGGGGTCCTGGGAGATACAACTAGGGAGCTCTGTGGGGCCTGGAGGGGCGGCATTGCAGCTTTTCACCTCCTTGGGTTGGGGGTTGGCCGGGGATCAGCACGGCCACCCGGTGGCTCAACAACCGTCCAGTGTTTCTCATTTTCAGGCTCCGTGCGGTGCATGCGCGCCCTCCTCTCCATGTAGGCTCCATTGCTTGTGCCCCTGCCCTGCCTGTCCTGACATCCTCCAGCCGGCCACTGGCCCGGGACAGCACTGGTGAGACCCTGGCCCCCCGGACACGTGGATGGTGAGATCCTGGCCCCCCTCTCGCTTCTCGTATTTCCAAGGCTGATCAGCCTGCTCCGCCGAGCGCAGCGCCCCTCCCCCTCCATGGGGAAATGACGGGTTCTGACACACACGCAGCAGATAAATCAGCCGAAAACTCCATTTCCAGAACGGGGCAGCACAAAACCCGCTTCCCGTGGGTGCTGGGCGCTCCCTCCATTTCAACCCCTGCTGCTCTGGCTACACAGACTGTACGGTGCTGTCACGTCCCCGCACCAGGCGGCGTGAGGGGCGTCTTGGCGCTGCGCAGGGAGGGTTCTGGTGGGCTACAGGCGTGGGGCAGGTGGGTGGGCCAGGACTCCAGGGGCCTGTCCCCCGGTTTGGGAGTTAGAGAGAGGGTCGGGGGCCAGGACTCCTGGGTTCTGTCCTGCCTCAGGGCGGGGAGTGGGCTGTAGTGGATTAGAGGAACCGGGGAAGACGGGCTGGGTGCCAGGACTCCTGTGTGTTGCTATGTGGTTAGCTCTAACTTGGGGACGCTCTCCCCTGTGGCTCAGTCCACTCCGACCCGCTCCCCACTTACCCACGTCTCCTTGTTCCTCCTCACAACGACAAGAGCCTCCTGGAAGAAGACGTAGATGGCAGCACCAGCTACCGCTCCCCCGCTGCCGCACTGCTGGACCTCCACCACCACCCTGAACCAGGAGGGGGCACTGCCGTCGCAGAGTGAAGCCGCCTCGTAGACCCCGCCGGCGAGGACCTTCCCCGAGGTGCCGTCAAAGGAGGTGAGCTGGGCTCCGGGGAGCAGAGTGCACCGGCCTTCCCGCTTCACGCAGCCGCGCACCCCGTTCTGCAGCGCGCAGGCCTCTCCGGCGGGGCAGCTGTGTGGCTCGCAGGCCACACCGCCCCCCG